AAGTAGGAATGCCTTAGCGACCGAAAACTGGTCTGGGATTGCCGCTGCCAGAAACCGAAGAAGAGGTTGGACGTCGCCCGCAGAGGGACGACACACCGTGCGAAATTGGACCGACAGAAGGAAAAATTCATTGGAGAAACTGCAACAGGGCCATTTTTGAGCGAGTATACCAGAGATTAGGGCCACTCGGGAAGAATTTAAGGAAGCATTCTTTTGACCTTGTGGAAGATACGACACCCGGCAAAACGGATAAAGACACTGCTAACAGAGGAAGTACCGGTTATGTAGAGACGCCTGTCTCCCCACCATAAATGGAGAATGAAAGATGACGAGTACATGATAGTGAGTGGAAGTACTAATGGACGAGCTTGCGCCCTACCACGGAGCTGCTTAACTCTCTTTCTCCTAGCTTACAGGACATCCACTCAGGACAATACGGACTTGGCCCGTGCTAGGCTAGTTTTCTGAAGGGAACTCCGACTGCCCTGAGACCTTCTGTTTGGGGTACCCCCACACAAGGAACTAAAAGATATTCCTGAGAAAAGATTCAAAATTTTCTAAAGCCTATTACAACACATTATTTCAGAAACTTATGCTGAGATGCACTAAATTTTCTTACAGCCCAGAATTTTACGCATTACTTTCATTGTGTTAATGACAATAAGAAATAAGCTAATGCAGGGTTAGGAAAGCAACCCATCCATAACTATAATACTTTTGATTTGATCAATACAGGTATGTCGGAAGGTTTCTGCTCCTTATAATCCTTCTGGTTTGTTGCTTGCTGCTCCTGCATGGGATCTTGATTCTCCGAGGAACAGACACAAACACCGAACTCTCTATCTGTACAACAGGCATGGCAATGGAGTATAGAATAGCCCATTTATATGTTCAGACTGATTAGTGTTAATATGTGAACAGCATAGGAAAACCAAAGACTAACGCAAGGAATGAATTTTTTTGTAGAAACTCTATCTGTAAACATTGGATGAATATCCGCAACTATGTGAGACTCTGAATTCATTCAGTAAAGCAGAAAGCAGGCCACAGGGAAAGGAAGGGGAGGACGATACAACAGCGAGGAGGATTTCTCACTTAAATATAAACCGCGGAATATGTGAACGCACCACTCACCTGGATGTTCTGAACACATGATTTCGGTGTATTAAAAGTGTTCGTTTTAGCCTTCTCTTTAGTGAAATTGGGGATACGATAGGT